CGTCCCCCTTTGGCGGCCCCCACAGTATTAGTCAGCTCAGGTAAGCTCATCAGGGGACATTAAAGGTGACGGGTGGCAGTCTGATGAGAGACAGGGGAGTTTGAGCATCTCCGATGATCTCCCCACAAGAGGGGCATTGGTTACACAGGGGAAAGGAGTTACTTAACACAGGAGGAGCCTGGCACATATGACCTTGACCAAGCGACTGAAATTATCGCCGCCAGACAGCAATGGAACCAACAGGAATGCCGTGCCTCCTGTTAGGATGGGCTGTGGACTGCATGCCACCATTCCCGGTGTGCCCACCAGCCACACATAGCCTGAATCCAGTCCTGAAAAAACATCAGAGTCCCCCAAGTAGAGGGACCGTCTAGGGAATAACTGCCCAGACAGTAATTATAAAACATATAAAACACAGTGAGGGACTGTACCAGATTAAAGAAGACTAACCAAACCAAACGGGATGTGTAGCGGGACAGACTGAAACAAACAAACAAACAAACAAACAAACAAACACATGTTCCTTGTTATCAAGGTCATTATTAGGGCAATTGGAAAGTTTTGGAGAAGGACTTCAGATTATATGACAGCATTACTATATCAAGGATAATTTCCTCGTTTTTAAAATGATGTAATGGTGATTTATGAGGATTTTTTTTTTAAGGTGGGGATGAACATGAAAGTATTCAGAGGTAAATTCCAATTCACCCCTGCTCTGACGGAGAAAGATGAGGCTGTTTGCAGTCTCAGAAGCCCCTTCAGGATCCCTGTGAGTCAGGATTAACTCACTGGCGGTGGTTGGGTTGGCTTTTTTAATAGAGAGAACAAGAATGAGGGAGAATGATAAAGTTAATTAGTCAAACGCTAGTCTTTGGGGGAAATGATGAAACACACTTTGTACTTCTTTGTCTTGCCACTTGTCTAAAGTCCAAAATTAGTTTTAAAACCGTTTTATTGGCATGTAATTCGCCAATCACACAATTCAATAGTTCCATCATATTAAGAAGAGTTGTACAATCGTCACCACAATCCATTTTAGAATGTTTTCTTCATTCTTGTCCTCATCATTCTGAGTTCCCCACTCCCCCCCAAGAGTCATTCATCCAGTTATTGTCTCCATGGATCTACCTGCCTGGGGTCTCATGTACAGAAAAACATTTTTAAAAAACAAACAAACAACCCTGAAGACAATCACAGAGGAAAGCCTCAATAAAAAAGGAAGCAGAAAATATTTTAAAAACTAGAACATAACTGATGTATGTATGGATTGTGATGAGAGTTGTATGAGCCCCTAATAAAATGATTAAAAAAAAAACTAGAACATATTTAAAATGGGTCAAAAGGGAGATGGAATGATAAGGTGTTTAATTTTAGCCCAACTGCAGCTGCGGTCATCCCCTTTCCGGGGCATTCTGCGGGGTCAGAAGGCTTTTCGCATCCCTGGTCGGTGGTCAGCAGGAATTCTCTGGAGGCTCAATCCATGCACAGTTCCCCCTTTTGTTAACTGAAACAACTTTAAAATGGGTCAAAGAGGAGATCAACTGATAAGGTGTTACCTTTTAACCTAACTAGATCGGTCATATTGACTTTACAATCCACTCTGTCTACTCACAAAGCTGTTCACATCCCTCCACTATGGTCAGAGGGGAGTCACCAGAGGCTTAACCATGTGGGGACCCTGCAGATGGATTTGGGCTTCCTTTGTCATCCATAGCCTTCTGCAAGCAGGGTGTTCTGATAGCATTTCCTCCTTCTGTAAACAAGGTATATATATTATTTCCATTCCTTGGATCACACCGGCTGGTGTGCTTCTTCCATGTGGACTTAGTTGATACCTCACTTAGATGGCTGCTCGTGTGAAGTGTGAGACTGACGTTATTGAAAAGAGTTGAAAGTAAATATTGGTAAATGAAATCTTGAGGACTATCTGGCACAGTTGGGGTCGTCAGTAGGTACTTAGTATGTGGTGGTTCTTAACAGAGAAGCGGGCCAGTGGATATCCCATAGGGACCGCGTGCTACCCCATGTCTAGGGAGTCTACAATGTTCTGGGCCAGCATTTTTCAACCTTTCGTGTGCACGGGACTCCCTAGGGGATCTTATTCAATGCAGACTTCAGTGCCGGGCTGGGCGGGTATTGAGATTCTGGATTTTTAACACTTTCAGTACACCGGGGGTGGGGGTGGGGGGGTATCCCACGGGGGACTGCATGAACCCAAGCCAAGCTCATGGCCATGGAGTCGGCTTCACTGCCAGCAACCCTAAAGGGCAGGTGGGTTTCCAAGAGTGTGACTCTTTATGGGAGTAGCAAGCCTCATCTTTCTCCGGAGGAGTGGGCTGGTGGTTTGGAACTGATGACCTTTCGGTTAGCAGCCCAATTCACTAGGTAGTCCCAACTCTTAGAATCGCAGGAAAAGCGGAATGGGTCTTCCTGCCGATTCTGACGAGCAGCCAGGATTAAACCTTGACCCCGTCTTGAAGCCCACAGCTGTCTCCTCCTTCCCGCCACCTGGAAGAAAGGCCTGTCCTAACTTTGGAAACATAACCTTCGAGCTGAGCTGCTGGCTGCCCCAGCACTCCCTCCCAGACTCAGAAACCAGGTGAATGTTCCCGCTCTTCTACTATTCACACACCTGCCAGGGAAGTCAGGTGAGGATTCCTCACCAGGCATCGAGCCCTCTGTGACGTGGCCTAGGGCCACTTTTCCTGGCTTCTTCCCCAGTTCCCCCTTTGGATACTCTGCTCTGAGGATGGCAGCCGGCCATGAACCTGCCACCCGGCGCTATCACCGCACGTCTGCAGTCTCTCTCACACCCTGTAGCTCCCGTCAAAAGTCTCACTTCAGGCCTCCAGGTCAGAGCTGTAGGGCCTGGTAATGCAGCTGTCACAGAATCACCCTCTCGCAGGGTCTGCTGAGTACACCCCTTGCCCCATTGGGGGGCATAAAACCCGCTGGCTCAGAGCCAGGCCGGAGGGCGGGAGGAGGGGGCTGTGCTCCTGGAATACAGGCTATATTTACCCGCGTTAGTCTGGGACAGGGTTTGGCTCCCTGCTGGAGGGGGTGAGGGGCAAGGAAGAGGCGGCCTGGGTGTCATCCTGGAATTCTGGCCTGGCCACCCAAACCTCCTACTACCCATCATTTTCCCACCCACTCTTCACCCTCCTTCGTTCAGCCACGCAAGTGGCTGGGACCTGAAGGACCCAGAAGAAAATAGGTCACAGGGAGGTGCCACCTGGCTTGTTCCCAGTAGAGAAATAGCACTTGTTAGGCCAGTGGAGAAGGGGGTAGGTCCCTCTCCTCACCCAGCTGGCCCACCCCCTCCTCCAAGCCTGCTTTGGAATGGGGGTGGGTGGGGTAGGCTGTTCCTCCTGGTCACCACTATCCTGAGCCCCACATGCCCCAGGGCTGACCAGGGAATGTCAGTGAAGATGCGTGGCTTCCCTGAGGCAGCAGACTTCAGTGACCCTTGAGGATTCGGGGCTGGGGGGCTCATTCCCAGGAAGAGTCAGAGTTTGTGTCTGGGAGGGAGTGGGCCAGGAGAGGTTTGGACCATTTCAAGGGACCTCAAGACAAGACCCAGTGGCTGCATAGAAAGATGGGAGCCTCAAATTCCGGCCCCCACTGCTGGTCTCTCCCTCAGGGATGTCTGGGTGGTACGCTTTCAGGACAGGGGCCTTCCACCCTCAGGATGGAAACATGGCCTCCCATCTCCGGAAGGGCCTCTGCGCCCGACAGTCTCCTCCCAGACCGATTGCCAAGTTCCGGCAAATGGAGACTTTGGTGCCTGGTCACCTTCCCCAGAGAACGTGGTCACCGCCCCTGAGAAGGAACTCTTCAGGTGGACTGTGGGGGTACCCACGACAAACCTCATCCTTTACGGAGGTTTCTATAAGCTCAGCTTCTCCCAGCTCAGCTGAGTCTCTGAGGGAAAGGAAGGAGCTTAGAAGAAAATAGGAGGTGACCCCTCCCCCCAACATGCATCTGGGCACGTCTTCCCCACCCCCCAGCCTAGGGTGTCAGGCTCTGTTTTGCATCCTCTCCTGTTTCTGGAGCCCCATTCTCTCTCCCCCAGAATTCCCTGTGGCGGCCCCACACTAGTCCACTCTCGCCTCCTGTTCTGCATCCGAGGTCTGGCTCCTTGCTTTGACAGCAACCACCACTTCTCCATCTCCAGTGTAGACCCCTGCTTCCTATGATTCTAGGGTCACTTTTGAGAATAAGGGGGTGCAGGAATGCAAAAACATGGTCGTTTGAAATGATTAGAGATGTATGACTGGATTGGCAAGGATGAGAAGAATTATGGAAGAAATCAAACTATTTGAAGAAGATGCCTTAGAAAATCCCAGACACATCATGTTACATCCAGAGAGAGAGACCCGTAAAGATGCGTCGGCACACCCCTCTGATCTCCAGGATAGGGCCCTACTTGGCTCTTCCAGCCCATTGGCCTGCCTTCCCCATCTGCCCCACCCTGGCACATCCACACCATTCTTCTCCAATCAACACATGACAGGATTGTTTCCCCATGACTCAATCTTTATTGGGTTTTGAAGTAATTGGATTATTGACACAAGGCTCAATGGGTTCCAAAGTAAATGGCAGAAGGGAACACACCATGACACAGGTGGGTGGACTCAACGGGGAAGCATCCAGCGCAGCTGTGACTCTCTCTCCCCTGAGCCGAGACTCGCCCGTAGGGACCGGGCGGCCGTCCCCAGCCCAGACGAGCCAGATGGTGCGGACCCCCAGGTGACTGCAGGGACCCACCAATGGCGACCAGGCCAGCCTCGCTTACCTCCCACACCTTCTTCCAGCCTTTAAGTCTTTTATCAAGACAGCTTGGTAACCATGGGGACTCTCTGCTGACAAAAGCCTGCCTTCTCTCCCTCACCTGCCCCACCAGGGCCAGATGAGGGCCCCTGTGGAGAGAGGAGCCCAGTGCCGCCCCTGAGGATATCTGACCCCTCCCCGCCCTGTGCCCCCACCCCTCTGGGGCCTGCTCAGTTAGAGAGCTGCCCCTGCCCCTCCAGTGAGGACGGCTCCTCCTCTATGAGCTCCAGGTCAAACTCATCTTCCAGGGACCCCCCGACAGGCAGCAGGCGGAACTTCTTCCCTTTCAGGGTGCACGTGCGGTGCTCGAAGTCCAGCACGGCGTTGTGGTCCTGGAGGACGTCCGTACCGATGATGGCCTCTTCGGCACTGGCATTGGCCACCAAGAACTCCGCCTTCAGCTTCAGCTTGCCCAGGGACACCACGGTGTCCCAGACACCCAGGATCTTCATCTCGGCCCCGTTGGCCACTTTGACCACATTCTCGAAGGGCCGCAGGGTGTCCAAGTCCCCATCGGTGACCTCTTCCCACAATCTGGGGTGGACCACGGAAACCTGGGCTCCAGAGTCCACCAGGAACCTCACGGGCACTTTGTGGATCTTCCCCTTGAGGTAGTAGCCCTTACCCATGCTGTTGGCAAAGAGGATCTCTTTGGGCAGGTGGCTGCGGGCAGCGCCAGGGCCCTCGAAGTTCTTCAGCAGAGTCTCCCTGATGACCTTGAAGTCTCCCTGGTCCTCTGGCTGGAGTCCTTTGTAGACCTCCAGGGCCTTGCCCCGGAGGGACTCTTTCAGGAACCGCAGTCTGGTGACCTCGTCCCAGTGGTTGAGGTAGTTTATGACCTCGAAGCGGTGGATCCAGACTTGCGGGGTGAAGTTGGATCCGTCAAAAGGCTCTGGGACAAAGGCGTGCGCCCTGTGGCCTGTCTGGCTCCTGGCTCGGTTCCCGGCCATGCCTCCGCTCTCGCTGGGAACTGCAGCAGCGACCCACACCAGATAGAGACAGCCCCAGAGCAGTGTGGGCGCAATCACGCTGAGAACGGAGTCGTTCTGCACAGCGCTGCCTCCCTGCCCGGTCGTGGGCAAGCAGAGGGGGTGGACGAGCACTGTCTGTCAGGGGACGGCTGGGCCAGAGGCGGGCAGCGCGGTGGCTTGCTGGCTGTGCAGAGCCTTTTTGATGCCTAGCCTGGGCCCCGGGCTCCCCATTTGCCTTTGTTTTGTGGGCCCCGCCCCTTCTCGGCCCGCCCTCCCACCAGCATCCTGCCCGACTAGCAGGATCAGTGCCTCACCCTCTGCCTCCATCCAGGGGATGGGCATAGGCCAGCCCACGTTGCCAGAAAGGTCTGCCACGGTCAGAGGGGACCTAGTCCGGTACCCTCCCCAGCCTGACAGTCAGGTCGTGATGACATCCCAAGGTTTGTCATCAGCCAAGAAGCCAGGGGGAGGCAGGCACCGACTGCCCATCCGATTCAGACTAGGAAAGTCCCTGGGGCCTCATCCCCACTACCCCCACCCCCACCCCCAAGTGACCATGACAGCTTAGAGCGGCCTAGGGAAACACGCTTGCATTGAGTGACCTCCTTTTTTTTTTTAATCATTTTATTGGGGGCTCATACAACTCTGATCACAATCCATCCATTGTCTCAAGTACATTTGTACATTTGTTGCCTTCATCATTCTCAAATATTTGCTCTTTTTTTTTTCATTTTTAACCTAATAATATAGTAATATTTTTTCTTTTTAAAATCATTTTATTGGGGGCTCATCCAACTCTTATCACCATCCGTGCATCCATCCATGGTGTCGAGCACATTTGTACATTTGTTGCCATCATCATTCTCAAAGTATTTGCTTTCTACTCGAGCCCTTGGTGTCAGCTCCTCATTTTCCCCCTCCCTCATGAGCTGTTGATAATGTAGACATTGTTGTTATTTTGTCATGTCTTACACTGACCGCTGTCTTCTCCCGTCACCTCCTTTTAGGTGCCAGCATCCGTCGGTATTTCTCAAACATGCCCCCCACCCCACCCACCCCCCGTCAGGTCCCAGGAGATGCCCTGGAGGGAGACAAAGGAGGGTCTCCGAATGACAGTCTTCAACTGACCGCCACACCAAGCCGCCACACATGTTCTGTGAACACAGGAAGCTTCCCCTCACTGGGCACAGATAATTCCCTTAAGGACCTCAGGTGGGCTGGGGGTGGCGCGAAGGCTGGGGAAGGGACGTCGGCTGGGCAGCTCCAGGTCCATGGGGGCCTGGCTCTGGGCAGGCCCCATCCTCCGAGCCACATGAGTGTCTCCCTCTCCACCCGGGAGCGCAGTGCTCTGTTGGGGAAGGGGAAGTGGGGGATTCTGCCCCCCTTTTGTTCTGAGCAGAGGGGGGTCTCCAGGTTGGTGATGCTGGCAAGGGAGATGCAGAAAGCTCTGAGCAGAGGAGGTGGGGCTGTGGGTAGCCTTGGGACACCCCAAGTATGCCGGAAAGCCAGAGCTGGGCATCCTGGGGCAGCTGCAGGCCTGGTGTGCACCTGGGTGGGGTGATTGGGCCTATGGAGTGGACCCCATCTGAGTGTCACCTCTCCCAGAGCCTTCAACTCTGTTCCTGGGACATGAGACTCTCGTGTGTCATGCTCTGTTGTGATGGCTTGCTCCCCAGTCCTGCTGAGGACCAAAGTCTGGGTCTCACACATACCTGCTGTGGTGATGGTCTCCGGCCCCCCGGGACACACACTCTGGGCCAGGCCCCGCTCTCAGCTGTCATGAGGCAGGTGTGATGAAGGATAGGAGAAGAGGCACACCTGGGCTCTGGAGCTGTTTCTCCTGGCCGAGGGCCTGGCCTGTGCCAACTCACGGTGCCAGATAGCACCCAATGCCTGGCTGAATCCCAGGGGTTCCCTCGCCCCAGTCCTGCCCTGCATGATCTCAGGACCCCTTCTGCATCAAAAGACCCTTTGCCCCTGCCTCTGGCTCCAGCCCCTACCGCCTGATACAGTGAGCCAGCGGAAAGGCAATGGGTCAGCACCTCTCCTCTCAGCTATCTGGCCAAGGTGGGGCCACTGTGACATTCCAGGAGCCCAGAACGGGGGAAATGGTGTCACTGGGGAGGTGTCAGGAACAGATGGGTCTTGAGAAGTTTACTCAGAACCCTGCCTGCCAAGAAATGGCCCAGCCACGTGCAAGAGCAGGCATCCCCTTCTGCAGGTGGACTCACCCTGGCATGGGTGCCAGGTGCCAAGCCAGGGACCCAGGTGGACCGAGGAGGAGCATGGCAGTGAGAGAGGCGGCTGACAGGCCAAGGCGGGTGGCTTGTCAGCTAACAAACTGGGACTTCTGGATGCCTCAGACTCTGGTTTTTTCCAAACTTTGGGGTGGACACTGGAGCCACCAGCTCTCCCAGTGGCCCTGGAGTGGAGAGGGTGGTGGTCACTGAACACTTGAGTGGTGGCAGTCCACTTGATTGGGTTTGGTGTTCACGTGGGCCAAGTCATTGCACCTTCTTTGCCTCGGGTGAGCCTGGTGGTAACCCAGCGGGCAGGCTCGGTGGCCCTCCCAGACCCTGGTGCTCAGGGTGCTTGCATGGTCCTCTGTGTGCCCAGTGCACCCTACAAGCAAGGACAAGCAGGCAAGGCTGCCACCGCAGATGGCCTCACTGGGAAGTGGGCAAGAGCGGCTGATAAATATTCAGTCATTTCATCAGCCATTTGTTAACCTGCCAGGCACCCTACATGGGAGGTGATGGGAGTATTTACACCACAGTAATTAGCAAATGCTAAACCAGAACCATTTTTTACCCCAATTCCCGAAAAGCTAGTTTATCAGCACAGTCTTCCCTGCCTGCGGCTTGGGTCACCATCTCTCTGGGGCACGCAAAGTCCCAAGCTGGTGAATCAGTCCGTTTACAGCAACCACCACACCTGCCCAAACCTCTTGAGCTAAACTACCTCCCGAACGAAGGACTCCAAGCCCACCTTGCCCTGCCCTCCCCCACAATATTTGGACTTTGGTTGAGGCAGGTGCCCCCCCTAGAGTGTGTCTATGTGCACCGTCCCATCTGAGATCCCCTGGACAGAAGCTCTCAGGAGTCCCTTGGTTCTTGTGGCAGATAGAAGGGGTCTGAAGCCTGCCTCTGGGGGAGGGCTGGGTCCCTGGCTCGGAGCAAGGGGCAGGGCGAAGGTCACGTCTCAGGTTCCCTGAGCCCTTGGAAGATGCCCAGACCTGGCACTACCAAACAGCACCGGGGACCTCAGAATGACTGTGTTACAGGTGCTGTGAGCTAAAGCAGCTGGGCGGGCCCAGTTCCTCTTCAGAGAAGCTGGGAGGTGGCAGCTAATTATTGACAAGTATAGGTATTGGGGCGGGACACCCTCATTATTGCCTATTAGCATCTCGGAGTGTGTTCTGAAGCAGGCAAACCACACTTGCACAGGGCGCAGACAAATCAGAACAATAAACAGGAAGGGTGCAGGGAGTCCCCACCCTCCACACCCCCTCAGGGAGATTTCTGGGCCGTGAGTCCTGCGTGGCACCTCGGTCCCCCTTCGCTGCCTAACCTCCCAGGGGCAGTCATGCCAATCACCACCCGCCCCGGCCGAGCCCCTCGAGCCCCCCTGGGTGGGCATCTGGAGACACACGCTCTGTAGCCCAGAGACACTTTGTGGACTGGGCTCCAGGGGAGGCCAGACAAAAACGGAGGAGGGTCGGAAGAGGCTGAGGCCAGCCCTGGCCTCACAGGCCACAGGTAAGGGAGCTCTGGAGGCTGCATTCTGGGGCGCAAGGCCCCACAGGGGCACTGGGTGGGAAGAGAGGTGGGGTAGGGTGGGAGGGTGAGGGCCGTTTAAAGGCTGCCTATGAAAGTTGAGGGGGCAGAGAGGCAGGGAAGGCTGCAAGCTTGGCTTGGTGGTCTGCTCCTGCTGTCTTGAATTCTTTGTAATTTTTGAGCCATGTGCTCTATGTTTTCCTTCTGCCCTGGGTGCTGCAGATGATACAGCTGGTTTGTCTCTCACCAACCTGATGGGGCCTTCCTCTGGGGCACTGACGCATCACACGGACACACTCACACACTGGCACATGCGCTCATTCTCACACACACGTGCGCCTTAAGAGAGGGCTTCAAAAAGTTTGTGGAGAGATGGAATTAAAAGATAGTGGAATTCTCCCAGGAACTTTTGGAAGGCCCCTCGTGCATGTTCACTCCTTCCCTCCCTCCCTCCCTCACACCACATGTGCAATGCACTGACCATCAAAACACTCTCTACACACACCCTGCGCGGGTAGAACGCACCCCAGCATACCCCGGCCGCACCACAGTGCTCAGTTCTCAGCGCTGCAGGACTTGCACATCATACACGTGGCATTGGGCTCCACCCAGTGACCCGGGCTCACGTTTACGCTGGGTATTAGAACCACATTTATTGAAGGCACTGGCTGCTTATTAGCCTCTGGACACACTTGCTGTTTCAGAAAACTAGGCAGGTCCCCGTCGCCACGGCTTACAAGCTCATGAAAACGAGAGAGAGAGAGAGAGAGAGAGAGAGAGGTTTCACAGCCAAGTGTTGAGGCGGTTAAGACCCAGGCACCTGTGCAGCCTGCCCCATTTAAGACAGCCCCCGGCCACAGCCACACCGCTTTCAAAGGAGCTGGCTTTGAAGTGGGTCATCGGCCTTCTGTTCCTTCCCCGCCCTGTGGGGCCAAACGGATGCCCGTCATTTGTCCCGTCTCTGGGCAGTTGTCCTCAAGAATGAATCTGCCTGCCCGGCCCTCGACTCCCCCATCCGGTGGTCCCTGCCCCCCAGCGCGGCTCCTTGGAGCTCAGCCCACATTCTGCTCCAACCCTTGGCTTCAAGAGGCGTATTCTGGTGCCAGGACTCTGCACTGCATGGAGGGGCAAAGAGGTGACCGCTGCCAGCAAGCTAGTGAGGAACCCCATCAGAGCCCAAAGGGGTCGGGGTGGGCTCTGCCGGAAGCAAGGCATGCTGGGAAGCCTGAGGGGCCAGCAATTCCTCATTCCTAAGTCACATGCCCTCAGAACTCCCGGGCCACTGGTAGGGAGCAGGGCTCCCATTCAGTCCTTCAGGCAGGACGGCTGATCCCCGTCCAGTGCCCTGGGTGTGCCTACCAGACCACCTCAAGGTGAGCATACCTGCCCCAGCCCTCTCCGAACAGGCCAGTGTCACCTCTTGCCGGTGGAGGACAAGGGGGGACAGGGAGACCA